AATTATGTATTTCCAATAGAATTTAACGAACAATTTTATTTCCTTGTTTGTTGTTACAAATTTAGAAATTATTTTCAGGCAACTACAAAATCTTAAAATTCCTGCAAGTATGCATATTGGCTATATGCAGCTTCAAGTTAGACTTTCTTCTGCCAGCGTATCGGCACTTATCATAGGGACATTTAAACGTAGGTTCCTTTCCACATTCGTGTCTCATGTGCCTCAGTAAGATTCGCTTCTGTTTATAACTTTTTGGGCAGTTGGAACACATCCACCTCTCCTCTAAAAAAATCAGTTATTAGTATTACAAATCGATTTAACTTCATATACAAATAATAATACAGTAAAAATACATTCTAATATATTTGTATCAAGTTACGGAAAATACGCAGAATATAATAAAGCTTAACAAACTAAAAATTTATGTCGAAATTAAATGTTTACTATAATTTTTTTCTATTCGATTCGACGTATTGACGAATTCCATCTAAAACAGAAAAAAATAATTAGTAATAAATATTTTGCATTTTGAAGCATTGTAGTAGTGCACAGCCTTACGTGAAATGTTGATCAACAGGTGGGTCGAGGTGTGTGGGACCATAGACCACCTTCGAGAAGATGCTGTGGAGGTTTATACTAGTATATGCACATAGCAATTAAAAAATTGTAATACTAACTCTTAGACAGTGTATCTCGAAGATTTTGTCTGTAGTATAGTTTAATATTTAGTATTCGTTTATTATTGACATTGTTCTAACGTGTATCCAGTATATAAAACAATATCTGCATTTACTTACCTTTTATCGTGACAGTTTTGATTTATATTCTGCTATTCGTGGGTTCTCTGTCAAAAATTCAGTGCTTTGACATTGAATCTATAAGACTTACTACTAAATATTTTTAATGCCTTATTACCCACTTTATTGATTATTTGATTAACTTCATTCAATGTTTTCTCTGTAGGTAGTATAAATAATTAGATCTCTCTTTGTTTACTTCATCTTTCAGAATCCCCCAAACAATACACTCTTGACTTGACTATCAACTGTCAGTAAATAAATGAAAACATTATTAACATTGCGAAAGAATAGCTATTTGTTAAAACAGGTGGTAAAGTATAAGATTTAATACCGCGGCGGGTATTTAGTAGCCGAGGCGCAGCCGGGTCTATTAAAACAGCCAAGGTATTAAATCTACTTTACTGCCAAGTTAAACACATCATTTTTCGGCCGATCAATTTTAATTTTCATAATAGCAAATAAAGCTATTTATTTTATATTATATTAATATTATTATCTGTGGCTGCTATGAGACGAGCGTTATTAAGTAAATAACTAAGGTAGCCAGTAATCGCCATATTGTTCCTACTAAAATCCTTAAAAATAACTACCTACACATTTTTTGAGATGGAAGAATTCACACTAACTCCGTCAAATATTATTAAATCAGCACAGCAAATAGGGCGTAATTTATTACCAGAAAAATCGACACAAAATTATTCGACTTGAAAATTAAACAAATTATCAACAATTACTGAAAAACTCATTGTTGTAACAGCTATTCTGTTTTTTTTTTGCATTTTTGAGCATGTTTTTGAATCGCGATTATACAATTTGTTTGTTTTACCAAAAGGTATGTCAAAACGCAAAAATGAGCACCGACAGAACTCTGTACGATGATTTTTTTAAAACTTTTTTTGAAAAAAAATATTTCGTATCGGAAAAAATTAATATCTCGGAAACTTCTTGACGTTTTTATCTAAAAAAAATTGTGGTTATTTAACACACAGAAAGGTATACTTCCAACAAGTTTCGTCAAAATTCGGAACTGCGAAAATTTTAGATTACGCTGTTGATTTTTTTTAACATTTATTATAATCCCTTTTACCATTCCCACTTATAAAAATCCAGGTAACAATTTTTTCTTTTTTCCCCTCTAAATCTAGTAGGTAATGACTTAATTCCTACTTAGGTACTTACTTCATATAAAGAAAATTTTCCTGATAGATACAACCTTCACATCTCGGACCTTGATCTACCCATCAAAACAATTAGGTTATGTCACCAGTGTTTACGTTTAGAAATGAACTAAATGCACAAAATCCATGTCACTTGTCACTGGCACCATTTTGCAAGATAAAAAACACTGCACGTCACAAAATGTAATCGAATTCGAACCAATTCACCGGTTTATAGTGCTAACGTGCATTATACGTTAGAAGTAATTATACGGCACTTCAACACAATCAACACGTTAGCCGGCTAGACTGTCGTCCCTTTTCGGTGACGTCATGATGACGTCACACACGTACCTCGTGCTAGTCGGACTAAGGGATCCATACGTTACCGTCATTTCGTGCAGTTTTAACGGTGAGTAAGAATCGTACAAACTAAAAAACTGTACTGCATATATTGTCTATTTTAAGTGCACAGTTTGGTAAGTACCATTAAAACAGTGCAAAATAACTTGGTTACAACGAATTTACTAGCTCACGTACTCTCAGTGTACCTAACCTAAAAATATTTGCAAATATGAAAAGACTGTATGCAAATAAATATTTTATTTTTTAATTTAGCACATTTATTATTATTACCTACTTGACCGCTGTTTAGCGTGATTCACTTTCTTTAAATAAACAAGAACTAAAAGGAACATGAAAAAGTTGACATTCAAGTTACAAGTAGGGACATCTTTTGCCATGACGTAACATCCAGTGTCTTTGGAGATTGCCTTTCTTCTTCGACTTGTACGGACATCCGGGATAAGTGCAGATGAACTGGGGCTCTTTTCCACAGTCAAATTTCAGATGGGCCATTAAGTTTTGCTTGAACGTGTACGATTTTATGCAATTGGGACAACTGTAGCGAACTCTACAAATACCCTGTTTCCCTAAAATATTACAAATTATGTATCTTATAAAGTTAAAGTAATACCAATACACAAAAATCACAATAAAGCTTCATTCATGTCCTTAATTCTGAAGCTTTTTGTTATTTAGAAGATAAAATGTTCAAATCAAATGCTAGTTTGTTGTAAGTGCATTTTTAATTTAATTAGCGTTTACATAACAACCAAACTCGAACATTTTATTGTGTAAAGTGTAAAAGTGATTCATTTTCCTTAAAACTATATATTTTCTTATTCATATTATATTTGCTGTTTAAAAATTTTGTTCACAATTTCACAGTTGTATTTATACTAATTTTTTGTATCTATTCTTTGGAAATATGTGAATAAGGTTGTAGTGGCGAGCAAGATTTTCCTTCCTTTTTGATTTGTACTGACAGCCCATTTCCATGCACAAAAATTGTGGTTCCTTGCCACATTCATATTTTGTATGGGCACACAGATTTTGCTTGTGGATGTAGCTTTTTCCGCAGTTGTAGCATACGTATGGTCGCAATCCTAAAAACAATTTTATTTAGTTCTATGTCTAGAGCTCATATGACAACTTTAAATTCATCCCTCTCTTCCCATTGCAAGTTTATTACACGAGATGTTCCAGAAATGGTTGAAGGAAAAGGACATTTTGGAACCTTTATTCAGTCTTGTGAAGGTGACTGAAATTTTTTCATTCGAGTCCCTTTTCAAATGGAAGAAAATATATTTTTTTCATATTTCAGAAAATCATAAAATTAAATAATTATTCTCACCATATTATAAAAATTAGAACAAAGTAATTGCACAATCATTTATTAATAACCATGGCTACTCAACTAAGCATTTCGCTAGGTTATTTTGATTTTGGATATCAACATCGTTTACACCTATTTGAGGGAAATTTGTGAATCAGAATATAATGACGAGAAAGGTTCTCCTTCCTCTTTGACCTGTACTGACAGCCGATTTCCATGCAAAAAAATCTGGGTTCCTTGCCGCATTCAAATCTTAAATGGGACCCTAAGCTTTTCTTGTTATGGTAAGTCCTTCCACAGTTCCCACATACATAGTCGAATTTTTCTGAAAATAAAATTTAGTTTGAATAGATATAAGGATATAATTTATCTATAACATTAAGACATTTAGAAGAAGATAACAACATTCTTTATTAATACAAATTTTCCTTGAACCAAATTGAGCCAAATCAAATGGTAGTCCCATTAGGACATTTTCTCGTATCAACAAATTAAGCTGTTTGTGTGCTTCAAGTTAAAACATAAAAAAATAAATTTGTAAAACGAAAGTGGTAGAATATGTAACATGTTTCAAAATTAAAAAATATTTGGTATGCAAAAAGGGCAAACTAGAGTTGTTTCATTGCAGAAATTATAATCCTAAGTCTCACCAACTCTTATCTTTTGAATACCTGGGACTGTACAAACATTGACAATAAAAAAAGAACAGTTTATTTTGAAATAATTTAATCAAAATAAACTACAGACATTTCAATACATTCAGCAATGCCGTTGAAGGTACTCCCATTCAAATAGATTTAGGTATCGTTTGAATGTTTAGATTTCATGTGTCTTTTAAGAACAAACGACCTTTTACACTTGTAAGTACAAATAGTACAAAGGTATTTCTTTGTGGTGCCGCAATCATACTTAATGTGATAGTTTCGTGAACCCTTTGAAATGTAAGTCTTCCCGCACTTGTCACATGGATAAATGCCTACAAATAATAGCATAATTAAAAATTTATTAAAATATGCATTGCATACATTTTGTTTCTTGTTGGCTAATATATTAGAGCGTCACAAGAATATTGCAAGAAATTTTAGAAAATGGTTCCTCTAGATAAAAAACACATTGATTCCTAAGGATATCACGCTCCTTTAGAGGAAAGTATTTTTTTTTTATTCTAAACAAACATTCCAAATTAGTTGAAGAATAATAATACCTAGCCTTCACACGCTTTCATGGTAGTTTCGAAGGTTGGTTGCCAGGTTGTCCATTAAGATTTTTTGACATTTCTGAAGACCTGTGACTTTCCGGTCCTTGATGACACATTGTAAATATTACAGGCAGTGACTTAAAATAAGCAAAGGAACGCCAGAATACCCAGCAATATAAAAACCAATTTGTTCAAGCAACTGAAGACACTGATTTCGGTAGTGCAGTTCTGTTGAGGTAGTTCTACATCTTCAAGTACAATTGGAACAAAAGTGGCACTAGAACTAGAACTGATTTGAGAGACATCAATTTTCGAAAAAGGAATATATTCTTTTATAGATTTGGATACAATGTTCACAACCAAAATTTCTTTCTTTCCATTGATAGAATTCGCCTTTTGAGAATTCAAGTCTAATACTACGACAGTGTGAGGATAATTATTATAAGATTGACGTGATGAAAGCAAATTTTTAGTTTTATTATTATTTATTATTCGACAACTTGGATTGAGTAATTTTTTAGATTCACCCATTTTGCTGTCTTTCATTTCAATAAGTGCAAAATTGTGCAAGTAAAACATTACATTAATACCGATTTTGATCATGAACTTGGACTTTTACTCGTAAGCTGTATATTTTACAAAGCAACACTATACAGACACAAAAATGAAAAAATATATATTTTTTATTAATCTTGTTCTCTAACGACAGCATCACTTTTCAAAATCTATTGCAACAGCGCTCATGGTTGTTTCTTGCACCTGTTCCTAACCAGGTGGATTTTGAGGTCAGCCTTGTGTTTGAATCTCTTGCTGCAATATTGGCATGGAAAGCTGGGTTCTACTCCACACTCGTAATTCATGTGACGCCTTAAAGACCGCCGTATTTTATAGGATGAGTTACATCTCGGACAAAAGAATCTTTGCCCTTGCCGACCTAAAACGATGTAGTGGTTAAGACGAACAAATGCGAAGATATTTGGAAAAGATAACTTTGTTGGAATAAATTCAGATTCTCTAACAAATGTACTGAATAAGCTGCTTCAAATTAAAGTAAGAAACTGCATCTATTTAAGTAAAAAAAAACATTGTATCGATATCTGTATTCATATTTTGAATGATTAAATGATTTTTTCATGATTACCAAGGCTTAAGAAAAAAAAATAAATAAATGAGAGACATAACTAAATGTATATTTATTTCCTCTAAAATAAATGTAGTAATAAATGCATAGACCATACAATAATATTAACAGTAACAGCATTAGCGATATAAAGAAATATTTAAATAATTTTATTTTATAGAATGACTATAATATTTGACGTAAAAATTTATCTTGTGTCATTAACGAATTAGTTTTATAATATTTCATGTCACCATATTTCATTAAAATTAAATAAACACAACTATATACTTACATTTATTGATATTCATTATTAAAATTTTGTAGTACAAATTAGGAAGTTGTAATAGTCCAGGGAACGAAGAGGAAAATAGGGTAAAACCTCCGAATACTTTTTATGAAAATTTGGAATTAAGCTTATTTTACCCTGTAGATGAAACGTTATATATGCTTGATATGCGCTTCTTATTTTTAGGGGATGAAAACCACCCCTTATAAAAACTATATAAATATAAAAATAGGTGTTATATAGATTAAAATCATATCTTAATGTATATAATAAATATTGTTTTATATTGTGAGTTATAATTTACGTTATTTTTATAAAGTTTTAACCTTTAAAAAACACCATTAATGATAAAAATATAAAATTAATAGCTTCTTTAGCCTTAAAATATTTTCAATAGTTTATGGTATTATAAATAATTTATTACAATATTTCAACCCTTAAAAAACTACCCCTAATAACAAAATATTAAAAAAAAATAGTTTGAAATGATTTGATAGTACAAACAGGATAATTTAAACTATTTTCCTGTTCATAATACAATTAACAATTCAAAATAATTTTTTTTTCGTAATAACTTTCTCGCGATTTACTTTAATTTATGCAATATTCAAAATATTATTTCGCAATATTTTTTAATGCAGAAAGTTTAATTTCAAATTTTCAAATATATTTATATTATTTTATTATGTATACCTATAAATGCTCCAAAGTTGTTCTTCTTCTTTAATTTTAAAGCTATTAAGACGATCCAAAAACGATTTTCGAGAGCTAAAAGTACTGTAAAAATTTTTAAGGCGTTATTTTTGAGATTTTGGAGGTTAAAGGGTTTGAAAAACATGATCTTCGTCCTCAACTGCAAACTTCTATCTAGCAGCGACATCTCTGTTAATTTTTATCCTACAGAAATAAAAAAAATATAATCTGTGAAAGAAAATCTAAAATTTTGTATTCTTGAATATTTTTCATTTCTTTTTGTTTTTAAAGTTATTTTGAAAAATATGGAATTAAATTAATTAAATATTAAATTATTTTTTGGAATTTGGATTTTTTTTCAATCAAAACGTAGGTAATATTTTCCAAAATATGCATTCTAAACCGCTTAAACTTGTGTAATATATTGTTGGCACATGTAAATTACCTTTAATATTTTAAATCTCGTAAAAAATTCATCAGTTTTTGTACTGATTTTTTTTCCGAAAAAGCGAATTAACAGTTTTATTTTCATCACAACTCTGTTAATTTTTATGCTAATGACATAAAGTCAAGTTTATTTTAAAGTACTTTAAAAAATGTTCTGTGCATTTTTCTTGAAAAACAGAATTTTCTTTAGTTATTTTACGTTAAATGCTTCCAATTTAGTTTCAGGTGGACATGAAATTATCTTCAACCAGCCTTATCTCAGCACCTATTGCACCTACATAAATGAAAAAAACTCACTCTTTTTCTTTTTCTATAAGCTTCATTTTCTTAGTGATGTCTTTTTCATAGAATGTCTATTTTCCGAATTATTCGAGAAAAACTACTGAAAAACGTCTTTTTTTAATAAAAAATGTACGTTTTCAATCAGCAATAACTAAGAAAATATTGACAAGATGTTCATAGGATATTTTGTGCTTAAAATTGATTGCTTTATCGATTTGCGGGGTTACTTTCAATATTTTATTTTTCACCCCCTAGAAAGGGTGGCTTCCACCCCCTGGGGAAAAGCGCTCATCGGCACTATATAACTTTTGTTTCTTGAGCTATTTTCTACTTACAGTCCAAGTTTAAAGTCAATCGGTTCTATCAGAAAGAATTCGCAGGGGAAACCCTTGGTTCCCTAGACTATAACTAATTTGTGTTTTTATTACTTATTTAAATATACAATGAATTCACATAAAGGAATAAATTGGATAAACAAATGTTAACTTTTGCTTTTTTAAATTTTTATTTCTTCAGCTTTTAATGTTAAATCAATTTTTACTTAAAAGGATATTACACATGAATATGAGTGAATAGGTACTTTCATGTATCGTTTCTTACTTTTCAGCATACAACCAAAGAATGTTAATTCAAAAATGTAAATTGATTGACTCAAAAAAGGTAAAATTGATTTTTTTCCTTCATCATGAATTCAATGTATATTATCTCATTCCGAATCGGTTAATTCTGAATCATCATTTAGCTTCACGTAAACCATTCCCCTGGCTGACCAAGCCTCCCGGTGTTTCACCATGAGGTGTTTCCTCAAATTTCCCCTCAATTTGGCCTTGTAGGAGCAGTAGATGCAATTAAATTGAGGTTCCTTTTGGCACTCGAAGCGCTCGTGTTTTCTGAGAGACCTTGAATGTTTATACTTTTTTCCACACGTGTCGCAAGTAAACTCTATAAAATGAACATAATATTATATAGTAAGTAGTAGTAGTACACATTGTAATAAATTATACACTGCAAAGCTTCTTTGGACATGGCACAACAAACACCTTGTACACTCACAAAAATGACAGATACGAGTATGTTCTAATATAAATACTTCTTTTTTGTGTAAAATGACTTTCTATATTACTTACTATGCTTTGTCCTACTGGCAGAGAGTAACCTACTAACCTGCTAGGTATATTTATTCTGCGGCCTAAAGCCTCGCCCAACACTAGCTGCCGACATGATTTTTTTAATAAGCATGATTTTAACTAATATCATTTTCAATATTAATATTTTTGCTAATATCTTTGTTATAAATAAGTCAATTTAAAACCACTTTCGGTACGTTTTTACAGAAAGAACTGAAGATTTTAAGTTTTTCTAAACACTTTTACATACTACAAAGTTCGATTATTGAAAAATTTACCATTTAGGAGAAAACAACACTTCTCTGATTTTAGAAATATGTAATATTCATAATTTTAAACAGCATACTAAAGGCAAGCAGATTTAATTATGTCAAAAAAATGAATAAATAAGGCATTAATATTTTAAAATATCTGAAGTATTTGAAAGCAATTCGACTCCTAAACTGCTCTTACGACCAATCTTCATTGCTGTGTTTCACCTTGATATGTTTTCTCAAATTTGCTTTTAATTTAGCTTTGTAAGGACAATGGCCACAGTAGAACTGAGGTTCTTTCTGACACTCAAAGCGTTCGTGCTTCCTCAGGGACCTTGAGTGTCTATATACTTTCCAACAAGTGCGACATTTAAATCCTACAAAATGAACTGGGTGTAATAGTTACAATAACAAACAATTTAGATGCTTAGATTAGGTAGTTATTACTATTAACCAAATAATTTGTTACATTTTTATTTAATACGTGTTACTTCCTTATTTGAATTTGGTCTCAATATGTTTTGTATTTATGTTTGTAGTCCGTATGTCGTAATAGATGATCCTTTCTCTTGTATGACTTGTCGCACAGACCACATTGAAAAGGTCTGAAATTATCACATTCGTATTTTTTATGCCTCCATAGCGACGTGTGGTACTTATAGGATCTTCCACAAGCGTCACACTTCCATTCTAAAAATAAAATAATAATGAATATAAAGGACTACAAAAGAACATTCTACCTTACAGAGACAATGGAAATAGTGAACGAAAATCGTATTTTGCAAATTAATGTATGTATTTTCATATCAATAACAGTAATTAAGTAATATTTTTAATCACTTTCGTATTTAGGTATAATAAATAATTAAAAATTAAAAATATTAAAGCAGGTCTTACTACAGAAGAAAACTCAACAGTCTTAAAGTTAATGAGAGATATATAAAATTGATAACATCATTTTTTAGCAAATTTGATATTTGTTTAAATGAAAGTTGTTGCCTGGGTTTATGAGAATGAAATGTGTCTTTTCAATGATATACATCAGGTCAATTTTTATTTTTAAAAGTGCGTTTTGTTAGATATTTGTTTTACATATGACATCATCTGTGTGAAAATTATAAATATAAATTACCAATTAAAAAAAGTACAAATGTTCATGCAGACCAGTTTTTACTAGTTATAATTTTTTTTAACGTAACTCTAAAATAAATCAGGTATCTTTTTTTTTTATTTGACAGTCCAATTTGTATTCAAAATCGATCCAGAGAACGTTCTGTCAGTTACTTTAAATCTCTAATAGTTCACAAAATACTCTGAAATTCAATCAAATTTGACTCATTAACATTATAGTTTACCAAATACTTTTTCAGTCTTTCACAAAAAGTAAACGATGTTACAATAACGTTATTGAGAAATTACAAACAGCATTTTAAACTAGAGATATAATACTTAATCACTATATCCAGTGCAATCAGCACTCTGACGACTTTAAAAACAATACACTTTGTAGAGATTCATCATTCGATGCTGTAGTGTTGGCTATAACTTTCAGGTTTGATCGTCTTTGTCCCTGAATGTCTGTTTGTAATGTGCGATATTACTGTAGACTTCTGTTTGGCTCTGTATTCACAAAAAGGGCATTTAAATTTTGGGGCCTGCTGACATTCGAATTTGATGTGCCTCCATAAAGACCTTTTCGCTTTATACACTCTTCCACAAGTAGAGCAGTGGTACAGAATACGCCCTAAAAAATGAAATGATGAAATTTGTAGGAAAGAACAAGATATACATATTTTTTCAGTAATGGTGTGAATCTAGAAATATTAGTAATTTCGTTCCATTCTGCCATTATTTAAGCTTGCCCATAGATAATTTTGTAGACCATTTTTTAAGGTCAGTTAGGTAGGCATATGTATCACTTATTTGATCAACAATATACTAGATGCACAAAAACAAGTCTAGTTTATTTTATTTTGATATTTTTTTGAAGACAGTGTTGGCACAATGTGATTTAAAGTAAAAAGAAAGTCAGGAAGCAAGATAAATAAAAATGCATCAATTTTCCCAACATTTGATATATATTTCTGATAATTTTTGCCTTACCCATTGGAATATATTACATAGGAATTTATATTTACAATTACCTACACTATTAGGTAAGTACTCAATTTAATTCTTTAGGAGAGTAGATCCAGTTTCAGAATAGTTGACAATGTAACAGTTACTGCAATGAACATGTATCAAAATCTTTACCTTAACACTCAAATTCGTTGTTTATTCTATTAATCAGATTATTTTTTCTATAATTAAGCTATTTTTGGAAAATTTCTAAATAATCTCGTGTCCCTTTCGATTTGTCATACTATCAAAAATATTAAGAATATTAGGGTCGTCGTGTTTTCGTTTTATATGTCTCCTAAGATTTGACTTCAGCTGAGACCTATATCCACAGGTTTGAGAAGGACATTGAAATTGGGGTTCTTTTCCACACATGTACATCTGATGCTGGACTAAACCATTGTGATAAGTGTATCTCTTACCGCAATCATTGCAGTGGTATGGTCTGAATTCTGAAATGTAACAGAGTAACAGTAGCAGTTTTCAAAAAAATTATATTCAGAATTTATTTAATGAAATATAAACCCTAAGGAAGTTATTGAAACTCAAAGACAATCATGAATTTGCCAGTTGTGTGTGTGTGTGTAATTTTCATTTTGCCAATTGGCTGGAAGTGACCTATTAACCTATTATTGCATTAAGCAGAATAATAAAGGTTTTAACTGATGATACTGTTAATTAAAAAAAAACTAAATCTTTATAAGACAAACCTTTTAATCAACGAACACGTTATTAGGCATTGACGAGAGATCTGTTAATATTAAAATTCCAAAGGAAAGCATATTAAACCCTAGTAATTTAGTAACAGAATGCATTAAACTGAGAAACGCAGAAAAAGTGTTCAAAAGTTTTCTTTAATATCTTTAAAATACAACGTAAGGCCAGATATATGTACGGTTATGGCAATGTCAGTAGGAGTCGACATTTGTAAGTAAGTAAATTGGTCGAGTTGACTTATTTTGATCCAAGGAATCTCTGGTTTTATGTTGTACACAGATTTTAAAAACACCTTGTATATTTCAGGTCCTTAAAGTAAACTTTCGTACACTACTTTTTCCAAACTTCAACTCTCTTTATCTCAAATCTTTCTTCAAAAAATCAATAATTTGGGCTTGCTAACAGTCCTTGTTAGTCTCCTCGTACTTCTTGGTGTTCCTTTCCCGCATGACCATTTCTGGGTTCTGGTGGTGTTTGGCTTTTATGTGCTTTCTCAGATTGGATCTCAACTGGGACTTGTAAGAACATGTTTGTATTGGACACTGGAATTGGGCCTCCTTTCCACACATGTACTTCCTGTGTTGAATCAGGCCGCTATTGTACGAGTAAAATTTGCCACAGTCTGGGCACTGGAAGGGTCTGGGCCCTAAAATGTATCCTGTTTCAATTAAAAAGCCCAAAAGTAGAAATACAACAGGCTATGTCTGAACAATTTTTGAAATTATTTTATATCTGAGGAATTATTTCAGAAATAAAATGCATCTTAAGTAATATATATCTCAGTTTTTATTATTTTTTTTGTACAAAATGATCGAAAATTATATCAAAATGCACACCATTTGTGTCATTCTGTTTACTTGAAATTTTTCTTGCAGTTAATACTATGTGGTCATAAATATATTAATTGATTGACAAACAAAACATGATTCTATGTTTCACGGGAAGGTCAATTCATTTTCCACATGCTTTGTCATTTTCTTCACAAGAGGTGTCATGCAAATGTTTGTTTCGAATATGTATTTTTAAATTTATGTGCTGTTTCGCCTTATATCCACAGTGCGAACACCTGAAAGACGGTTCCTTTTGACATTCGTATTTCCTGTGCCTTAGCAGAGAACTTCTGTTTTTGTAGAATTTTCCACAAATTGAGCATATGTTCGTGTACCGTCCTAAAACATTACAATGTAGTCAGTTATCATAACAAATAATACACATAACAGTAATATGGTTACTATAATAAATAGCTAATACAACTAATTAAAGTTCCGATGAATTTAGAATAAATGACTGCACATGAACAGACACCAAAGCGACATAGGCTTTTTGCTTATTTTCACATGTGTCAAAAAGGGTGTTCTGAAAGTCCGTCAGGAAACTCCGGGAGGTGATTCTGCGGATTAAAATATTAGCAAAAGGTAATGAATTTTTTTTCGAATTGTCAATTGTTTGTAGGTGTGCCAAATGAGAGACTTATCGAACCTTAATTAAATAAGTTATTTAAATAAAAAAATTAAAAAATTGAACTTTGACAAGCTGTAACTTTGCCTGCAGGCAAATGACAATTCGAAAAAAATTTTCATTACATACTGTTACTATATTAATCCGTAGAATCACCTCCCGGAGTTTCCTGACGGATTTTATGAACACCCTGTATATGCAGTTATTTCTCAGAATATGGTTACAAGTCACTCAGAAATATTATGAACCATAGTATACAATTCATATTTTTAAATGTAAACAATCTATATTCAACTTAAAAATCTGATTTTCCTCGTACAGCTTATGTCACAAATGTCCAAAATTAGTTTTAAATTTATTCATAAAATATCCAATAGAAAAGTAAGTAGGTGCTTCAGTGGTTTAAAAAATGGGATATTATTCAGTTTTGGTCTCAATTTTTTTATTAAACTGTAATAAGTTTTACATACATTATTGACGTCCAATATGTACATGAACAAAATTTTAGATATAAAAAATGCACAATTTCTATAAATAATATAGCATACAGACATGTTTCTTCTTTTTTTAGTACTTGAAACAAAATTAAACTCATTTGGTTCTGCAAACCAAAGTCAAGCTACCTAGATTTCCTTATAGGCTATTGATTATATATAAAAAAAAACAGAGTTAAAAGGAACTATGGCGTTCAAGCAATTTTATCGCATGAATCGTTCAAGGGGTCATTTTAGATGAAAAATCCGCGGAGTGCTATTAAATTAGAGGGTGAAAATTGGAAATAGGGGTAAAAATGCACCCCTTTCAGTTTTTTAATTGTAGCTCGAAAACGAAGCAAAATTTCGCTATAGTTCATAGGAAAAATTATTTAGAGAATTGAATTTCCCATAGAAAACGCTTATTTAAAATTTTTTCCAATTTTTTTTTTTTAGTAGAAGTAAGCAAAGAAAATTGCTGTACAAAAAACTAGATGAGATTCCCTTCAAAATGATGCGTTTTCAAAAGATTTTGGACTAATATTGACTGAGTTATAACCGGTCAAACTTAAATAATTTTAAGATTCTCGTCGTTTTTAACATAAATTAGAGACAAACAAGTAAAAAAAAATAAAAAAATCTTATTTTTTGCTTTTTTAAAATTGTTTATTAACGATTTTTTTCCATACAATTTTTTTTTGTAAATTTTTTAAATAAGCCATTTCGATAAAAAATTCAATCCTCAACAAAATTTTCCCCGTGAACTATACCGAAATTTGGTTCGTTTTCCTGCTATATTTAAAACACTGCAAAAGTGCATTTTCATCCCTATCATCAATTTCAACCCTCTAATTTAATAGCACCTCGCAGTTTTTTCATTTTTAATGATCCTTCGAATAAGTCATGTTATGAAAATCCTTGAACGAATTCTTCCTATTTTGCAAAAAATGAGAATTAAAACGTTTGAGCGGCCATATATATCAGTCAATTCTCATCCAAAATTACTGTATAACCTGTTTTTTTGAAGGAAATTTTATCTACTTTTTTTATGAAACAATGCCTATACCTAACTTTACTCAAAAAAAAACTAGAGGCAAAAAAAGCAAAAAAAAATAAAAAATCGAATTTTTTGCTTTTTTTCAAATTGTTTATTAACGATTCTTTGCATACAATTTCCCTTTCAAATTTTTTAAATAAGCCATTTCGATGGAAAATTCAATTCTATAAATAATTTTTCCTATGAACTATAACGAAATTTTGCTTCGTTTTCGAGATACAATTTCCACCCCTATCTCCAATTTCCACCCTCTAACTTAATAGCACTCCGCGGTTTTTTCATCTAAAATGACCATTTGAACGATTCATGTAATAAAATATCTTGAACGTTCCTTTTAAAATCCGATAATCAATAGCCTATTAAAGCACCTTGCACACAAAGTAGTAGGTCTGCAAAACGTTTTAGCTTTATCTGAATGGGAAGAAGATTTCAATGAATATTTTCTAAGCCTTCATCGAGAAATTTTCAGTTTTTTTGACAAATTAAATCATTTCAAGTTTTTCAAGCTTTGGACTTTCCAGTAACATCAATTATAAGTTGTGAACATGATTTTATGTTTCTTAACTAAATGCTGCTTAACGTTCCCTTTGACTTTGGCTCTGTAGTCACAGCCTTCGATGGCACAAGCGAACTGTTTGGGTTTTCCACATTCGTATTTCTGGTGTTGCAGAAGACCTCGTTTGAATTTGTACGCTCGATTACAAGAGCTGCAGGAGTACAACTTAGAGAAACCTACAAAGGAAATATGAAGTTACATAATTCTCGTGGTTTTTGGATGATTACAAAGAAACCAGCACCATGTTTGCGTTGTTTAATTCTTATAGTTTTTAATTTGGCACGTTATTATTGAAGGAAACGATTTCCTATAAAATTCTTCGCAAAATGCGCATTGTGTAGTTTTTGAAATACTAATAATTTAAGAATCATACTGTATAACCAAAGACCTCAACTATTTTATTTTACTTTCAATTTTATGTAAGTAGATCTTCGATTTCAGATAGTTTGGGATGCATTTAGGTAATTAATTATTAAATCCATCACTTAGATTCCAAAAACATTATTTGTTGAAATAAATAAATTATTAGAAAATTCAAACAAACACGCTTTCAATATTTTATTTTTTTATATAAACTTCACTACTTCTGACAATTACACTTACTAGAGTCTAATACGATAACAAAACTTTATTTCCCAATTGTAGATGGTGATAATCTAATGATGTACAGGCTTTCCCACTGAAAATTGTAACCCCAGTATCCTTTCTGTTTCTTCTATTAGGAAAAGTAGCTCCCCATAAAAGTAGTATGGTCCTTTGAGAGCCTCGAAAAAAATTATATCAAGGGGTGCTGTTGTGAAACAAATTTATTAAGAAACTTTCTTTGCTCGAGGCGATCATTTTCGATGAGAAGTCCGTACAAAAAATTTGATTTAGTCAAACACCATATTATGTCGTAGTAGACAGTGTCTCTTCAGATTTGACTTAATGTGAGACTTGTATTCGCAATGCTTGTAGGGGCAAATGTTCGTAGGCGGTTTTCCACAGTATCTTAGTTGGTGGTAATATAAAGAGTTTTCCTTCATGTATACCTTATTACATCGGGTACAAATAAACTTTGCTGAAAAACAAAATATGTTAGATTGCTCGGTTTTCAGGAATTGCGAGAAATCTATTAATTAAAATAAATATATTAAAACTTGGTAGGGTCTAATTTTGTTAATGTTTCGGAATGTTGCTACACTCTTGACTTTTCTGGAATATTGCAGAATATAATATTTATAATATTTATTTAGTTAATAAGAAATTTAAAAATTTCAGAAAAGTGTGTAACAATATTCCTAAATGTACCCAAAAAATACTACAAACAAATATTTTAAACAATACCTGTCAGTTGTAGTAATATGGCACTCCCAAAAAAAAAATGTAAAAAACTTATGCCTCAAAATATCGTTCTACATTTCTGCTGCCGAATGAAATGTGTTCATTGTATTTATATATTTTTATTTAGTACAATAATAATTCGAAAATAGTTACAAATATATTAGATATGGATTTGACTGAATTTTAATAAAACAGAGAAGGTTAAAGGTACTGTATACTTCAAACCATTATAACACGACGTGTATATGTAATGTTGAATAATTTAAATTCCTTATTTATTGGGAATTTTGTCAAAACTTAATGAAATAAACCTTTCTGCTAAGAGAACTTGGAGGTTCTGCAAAAAAAATAGATCCGAATATTAAAAGAGACCGCGATTTTTTTGTTGAATGGCGAAAGAAGTATTTGCAATTATTCCAATGGGTTATTTCATCAATTTTTACACACAGTACCACAGATAAATAACTTCATAAAGTATGTCAATGTTAGATGAGCAGGAAAAATGTTACAAATAACACATCTTTAAGACAATCTTCGTTTATGTTTCCAATACTCCTCAGGGTGAAGTTTGTAAAGATGTTTTTTAAAATTATAGGGTGTGTAGCTCCTTGTATTGTAAACACATGACCCATAAGTGCAGGTATAACTCCGTTCTACACCACAGTCCCTACGCAGGTGGCAGTATAGCGAGTCTCTTTTTCTGTACTGTTTCCCACACTTTGGGCAACCGATACCTAAAACGTAATTGCGTTGAAAATTTACACTGGTAGTATATTCAT